TCTAGGCCATAATTTTGAAATGTTTCATAAAAATTTCATCAAAAGTTGGGAAAGGTGGGTTGCCGATTGAGCCCCCTTGGTTTGTTTGAAGGAGAAATAGTTCATTTCTATCATGCAGAAATGTACTAACTTGATGACAGAATTAACTGAGAGATTAGTGTAATTCTTGAGTGAGTCATCAGCTAGTAAGTTTAGCTATTATTTTAATAGTATAATCAACAAGAATAATAATGAATAAATTCTTAACATCGTAACTGATCATGTATTCCCTCCACATGGCTTAATCTCTTTCAGTTTCTTGCAAATCTCGTGAGAGTTTTTGATGTATGATGGGTTTTTTCAGTTACAGTTCTGGCTATTTTAGCGGCAGATTTCGAAACTTACGTGAAAAAACTGTTCACATTAGGGACAAGGAGTCTGAGGGAACCTTAGATTTGTTTATTTTAGGTAACCAGTAAAAATACGGTGCCACGCGATTACAGTTGAATTTTAAAGGTGTTTCAAGGAGATTGAAGAATTTTGGATGTTCATGATGTTCATTCTTAACAACACCGTGGAATAGTGCTCGAAGGTTATAGACGAGGGAGGACTTGGGGTCAATATTTAGAAGAAGGCAAGAGTTGTTATTTATATACAACTTTGAGTTTTAAGTATGATTACCTCACGACCGAAATTTTCAATATTCTGATACTCACTGTTGCAACCAGCCGAAACAAGCGGTAGCAGGTCGTTCACTTACCAATGATAGTTGAATTGCCTGGTTTTCTGCTGTTGTAATGCCGAATCATGCAAGACATGCAGCCATGTTGTCTGATATTGCGCCTTGCGGTTGCAGTTGGGTTTGACGAAAGTTTTGTTCTTCAAAGCATCCTCAAAGTAAATGCCTTTGAAATCCATTGTTCACAGGGTTATTTCGTTTTTACTGATATGATGGAAATATTGTGAGCGAGTCTTTGCTCTCTGAGATCTATAAATGATTGAATCGATTTAAATTAAGATACTGTGCTGATTTGGCTAGAAAATATTTATCATTTTAGAACCAGGCTTCGTCGCTTTATTACTTCCTCTATTTTTACTCTCGCATAGTTAGTTTAGATTACATTGCGGGTAATGGCAGGCTCTCAGAAAAGGATGCGAGGCTAAAGTTTCGACAGATCGTTTCTGCTGTGGAATATTGCCACAAGTTGAATATCGTACATCGCGATTTGAAGGTAAGTTTGCACCTGAAATCGTTTCTGTGTGATTTTGTGAGGTTTGGTTTATTAATTGCGAAAAATTATTAGACGGAAAATTTGCTGCTGGACTCGAATTTCAATATCAAGATAGCTGATTTCGGATTCAGCAATTTTTACAAGGCTGGTCAAGAGTTGAATACGTTTTGCGGTTCTCCACCGTACGCTGCACCAGAAGTATATGCAGGAAATAGCTACC